CGGGGGCTGCCGCCAGCCCCGCTCCTCCTCCTCGCAGGAGCCCGGGGCTGCAGGGTGCAGCACAGGGCCAGCAGCCACGGTCCCTGTCCCGGCTTGGGCACACTGAGGGGAAACTACAACCTCCCGGCGTGTTGTCAGGGCATGGAAGGAAGGGGAAAATCTCCACAGCTCACTGGGGGAAATCACAGGTTGGGGAAAACACAGCCAAGGGCACAAGGAATTGAGCCCGAAGGAGCAAAAATGCAAAGCAGCGCCCAGCAAGGCTTCATTAGGAATTGTCTGCACATCTCCCGGGCAGAGCATGGAGAGGCTGCACCCGGCCAAGCCGCGGTCCGGGGGCCCCCGGCTGCCCCGCACGGCAGCGCCGGCCCGGCCTGCAGGAACCATCCAGGGCGCCGGCGCCACCGCAGCGGGAGAAGCCTCTGCAGAACAAGGTAGGAAGTGCGTGAAAGAAAACAGAGCTCTGCGCTACCCCCTCAGACTGCGAGCAACCATGGTTACGGGGCTGAAAGAGCTAGAAAGCCACCAAATAAACAGGGACGTCGTTCCAGTGCTTGATTTCAAACTAATTGAAGCGTGAGAACATTCTCCATTTAGCCCCATTTCTGCAGCTCTTCTCATCTCAAACCTGTTCTCCTATTTTCTGTTCCCTGGCAAAAATCAATCGCGCAGATTTGCCCCTGCAACCTGTTTCAGAGCCTGCTGGCGCCTGCCGCAAGCGGGAATGGTTGGCATCTCCTTTTCCTCAATTAGTTTTCTGAATGAGGCTTTTGTTTCCCTCTTTTAATGAACTGGTGTGGAGCAGCCTGTCCGTGGTAAAGCAGACCGTGCTGGTGCCCACAGTCCAGCGGAGCAGTTTGCTTTCTCCCCTGCCCTTCGCTACGCTCCGTCCCGGACCCCATCCCACACCGTTCCCGGCACAGCTCCGTGTTGCTGCAGCAGAGCGGGTGTCTTTGCCTCCTCCTGCAGCACTGCAGCTGCTCTCCAAGCTGCAAAGCAGAGACTCGGGACAGGAGGTGCCTCTGAGAGCTCCAGCTCTGCTCCAGCAGCTCCAGCTCCGCTCCGGCAGCTCCAGCTCCGCTCCAGCAGCTCCAGCTCCGCTCCAGCAGCTCTGCTCCCCGTCTCCCTGCCCGCTCCGGCCCCGCGGAGCCGTCGCGGCAGCTCCTCGGCACTGGCTGCCTTTTCCCTGGGAGCTGCCAGTGCAGCCGCCCTCCTCCTCCTCCTCCTCCCGCTCATCCATCTTCGTTTGCCTCCTCTACCAAACACGAGGAACGCGTCGGGCTGAAAAGCAGTAATAATAATATCCTGCTTTTATACAGCAAGATTTATTCTGACAGTTACCAAAACATTTTATAAACCCAGAACTGACGGGACTTTATGGATTGGCCTCATTAGGCCATTTCGTGTCTACTTGAAATATGCCCAGCATCCCAGAGTTGCAAAGCTCCCAAATGCGTCTGATTTAATGAACACATACAATTGCCAGACATGGCAAAATCCAGGCAACTTGTGTCAGTGACCGGAGGAGGTGGTCATTAATTACTGCAACTCCAGATAACGAGCTCCTCCTCTCCTGCACATGCAGCCTGAGTTGCAATGCAGCAGAGGAGGTTTGGAGGCATCAGCAAAGGAAGAGCCCAAGGGAGGCGCATCGTGCACTGCAGCAGCTGGCGCGCGACACGGTGCTAAGCAATGCCCCTCTGATGAACACTCTTCAGCGAGGCTGCATTCAGTCCCTTGCCTTCTAATTTAACACAGAGCAGCTGTGTGTGCCCTCCCTATTACAGGCACTTCAGTCACTGCCATACACACATTAAGAGTGAAAAAGGATTTGTTCAACAAATGTGTTGGGGACAAAATTCCACAGCAAACAGCAGGGCCTGACAAACCGCTTTTCTGGGTAGATGGTGCTGCTCCAGTGTTAGCTGTGTTTAGTTGCACCCTCTCAGGAAAACAGCATGGAAGAGTGGGTGCCTCCCTGCCTCTCCACTCCCGGAGAGGGAGAACAGCAGTGGGGAGCAGCCCCTGCTGCAGGAGCCATCCAGCGCGATGCCCCTTCCCACGGGCAGCGTTCCGAGCGGTGCCGCAGCGGAGCGGCTTTGCTCCCGCGCGTGCCGGGGAAGCCCCGGCTGCTGCAGGACGCGTGCGTGGGCTCCAGCCTCTTACCTGCTCACACAGGGTGCCAATGAGCCCTTCCAGATCCTGCTTCTCGTGCAACACCATCTGCTTCTCCTCGTACTCTTGCTCCAACTGCATCTCCAGCTGACGGAGCTGCGCGCGGGAGACGAGCGCGGATCAGGCAGGAGCGCGGCCGCTCGCGCCACGGCCCCTGCGCCCCTTCGTGCTCCGAGCTCTGAGCGGAGCCGCTCACTAAGCCCTGCAGAGCTAATTCCCTATCCACAGGCAGGCCTGCCTCGGGCCCAATAGCAACTGGCTGCTACAAAGCAGCCCAGGGACCTCCGGGAAACTGGGATTCATGTTTGCGGCCACCAGCCTCACGACCTTCTCAAAACCTTGTCAACAGGGTGAATTCTGTAGACCACCACTGAAATAGAGCCCTGGCCGTCTGGTGCAGGTGCCCTTGGCCTGGCTCTGGCTCTGCTCTTTAGGAATGCGGTGCCTGGGACCGCCAAGGGTTTGAGGCCCCGTTTGCCCAAATCCCTGGAGAACAGGGCCTGACACCTGCCCAACACCTGGGATTTTGCAGCACCCGGAGCAAGTAGAGCAGTGGCCACCAGCGACTGAGGGCTGTGAGAGGAGAGAGTAACCCCGAGAGTTTTTTCTCTCTTCTCCTCCATCACAGACAGAGGGAGCACAGGGAAATCCATCTCCAATCTAGCACGTTTGTTGCTGGAATGAGCCTTGGGATGAAGGGGACCGTGGTGCCAGGCAGGAGGGCCCGAGGGAGCCGTGCTGCCCAAAGCAACCGCTGTTCCCAGGTCTCCGTCCTGGACCCGTGGACCTGACCCTGCCCCGTCCCCACCCCCGCTCCGGCGCATCCCTCCCCGCCGCTG